CTTCTGAAAGGGAGGTCGTTTCCATAGCAGATGATACTGAATGGTCCTGGGAGATGCTTCTGACACATTAGATCCAGAGCCTCCCTGGGCCTCCCACCAACAGGGGGGTGGGGGGCGGGGGGAGGGACACAAGTAGGTGGGCTCAACTGAGGCTCCTTCCAACAGCACCCGGGGTTACCCGCCCTCCTCTGGTTTGGAAGAAAGGGGAACGGCGGTGGTTAGATGAGAGACCAAGGCAGAGAAGGGGAAATAATCAAAAGCCTGACTCCCGAAGAGAGTGCAAAGCCAAGCTTGCCTCCCGCACACCCCCAATCCCAGCAGCCCCTTCTGTAGACAAGCAGGCTGGCCGCGGGCTCTCACTGGTCATCAGAGCTGCCTTCCTGCTTCAAAGGCCTCTGCCTCCTCCTCACCTGCCTGCTCCCCACCCCCACCCCCAAGCTCAAGGAGATCCAGACCCTGGGTTTCCCCAACAACAGCACCCTCTCCTGCCACCCGCCATCCTGGGGTTTCTTCAAGAACCTTGGGTCACCTGCACAGCGTGGCTCAGTGGTTGAGCATCGACCTATGAACCAGGAGGTCATGAGTTCGATTCCCAGTCAGGGCACATGCCTGGGTTGTGGGCTTGCTCCCCAGCATGGGGCATGCAGGAGGCAGCGGATCAATGATTCTCATCATTGATGTTTCTGCCTCTCCCTCTCCCTTCCTCTCTGAAATCAATAAAAACATACCAGAGCCCAGTGCGTGAAATTAGTGCACAGGTAGGGTCCCTAGGCCTGGCTGGCCATCAAGGCCCACTGGGGCCTTCCAGCTGCTGGCAGAGGCCTTCCTTCATTTCGCGCCGCCCCCTAGTGGTCAGTGCACGTCATAGAGAGCAATCAAACTCCTGGTTTCCCTGTAGAACTCAGAGGAGACACTGCATATTAGCCTTTTATAAATACTAGTATAGATATATGAAAAGAGAACATTGGGTCTGTTATGGTTGAACTGCACCCCCCAAACCCAAAGGTTGAAGTCCTCACCCCCAGGGGCTCAGAACGTGACTGTGTTTGGAGAGAGGGCCTTTGGAGAGGTGATGGAGGTAAAGTGAGATCCTTGGGGCGGGGCCCTGAGCCCCTGGGATTGCTGCCTGAAGAAGAAGAGACACCAGGGGCCTCACGCAGAGGAAGGACCAGGCGCCCAGGGACGCAGTGAGGAGGTGGCCACCTGCAGGCCAAGAAGAGAGACTCCAGGAGAAGCCAACCCGGCTGCCGCCTTGATCTTGGACTTGCAGCCTCCGGATCGAAAAGAACATTCATTTCTGGCTGAAACCGGTTTGGCTCAGTGGATAGAGCATCGGCCTGCGGACTGAAGGGTCCCGGGTTCGATTCCAGTCAGGGGCATGTACCTTGGTTGTGGGCACATCCCCATTAGGGGGTGTGCAGGAGGCAGCTGATCGATGTTTCTCTCTCATCGATGTTTCTAACTCTCTATCCCTGTCCCTTCCTCTCTGGAAAAAATCAATTAAATATATTAAAAAACAAACATGCATTTCTGTTGTTTAAGCCTCTGGGGACGTGGGCGTTGTTATGGCGGCCTGAGCACTGCGCCAGGGTTCACACTCCTCACCCAGCTCTCCAGACTGCACCTCTGGCCCCGCCCCTCCCCTCCCCTCCCCCACTCCGTTCCCCACCTGTCCCTGCTTCCCAGCCGCCTCCTCTCCACACCCCACCTGCTCCCCGTGGAGCTTTCCAGAACATCACGGAAGCAGACGGCTCCACCCTTTGCATCTGAGTCTCGCTCCCAAACTCCATGGGAAATGTCCTAAGTCCTGGACCCAGCTGCTCCGCTGGGCAGTGCCTCACACTCACAGGCAGGAAGGTCACTGAAGTGCAGAGAGGGCTCTGGGGCGTGGGTGGCAGGAAGACACGCGGCCACCTGCTGCCCGTGGCTCGCGGACCAAGCCACGGTACCCTCCGAGCCCCAACTTCCCATCTGTGACATGGGGAGGATTCTTCTCCCGGGAGGTGGGCACGGAGGTTGGTGAGATAGTGCCGGAAACGGGATTGTCATCCAGGATGGCCACAGCGTCTCTGGGCCCCTCCCAGGCTGCCTGTCTCCAAGCCCGGGGTCTGAAAAGGGCGATGACCACAGCACACCCGCCAGGTGGGACATGGAACTGTCCTTTGCCTGATGTCACATCCACGCGGCCCGACGCGGGCTGTCAGCACCCTTCTGAAGCCAGCGCCCAGCTCTGCTCTGCACCTTCCGGCTCCCAGGGAGCTGCTGCCGCTACCAAAGGGCCCGCTGGCCCGGCCTGGTCGCCAGATGGCGCTGCGGCCCCAGCGATAGTGCTCGGTGTCAAGAGGATAGGGAGGGGGGGCGGGGGGCAGCAGGAGGCAGGCAGAGAGGGGTGCAGAGGGGCGCAGGCGGGGACTGCGCCCCCCTCCCCGCCCCAGGGCTGCCACCCAGACTCCCGCCTCTACGACGGAGGAGGAGGGGCTGATGAAGGTGTCTTGATCCTTTGCTTTCAAGAAGCCAAAAACTGGATTTTTGTTTGAAAAGCTGCCAATTATTGTCATTTAAATTTTTAAATAAAAACCATTTGTGGATGAAAAAAAGGGGTGGGGGCGGTCTGTGGCAGTAACCTCACAGGGTGACCTTATCCTGAATTCCTAACCTGGCAGGTGATGGTGGGCGTCGGCCCCAGGCCTGTGGCTCTAATAGAAGGCCTGCCCACGGTGTCTGTGCCACGGGAGCTAGCACACATAAACCCCAGCACCCAGGAGAGTGGTCATCTCGCTGACTCTCCCACAATCGAATCCCCGCCTTGCTTTCTCCCATCTTCCTCCTTCTCTCTTTACTTTCAAATGCATAAAAGAAACTATTTTCCAGAGCATTTGAGCTCTTGCTCCCCAGCATATTTCGTCAGCTGGGCTCAAATAAACTCCTATAAAAATTCTCTAGCCCGGCAGGTGTGGCTCAGTGGTTGAGCCTCGACCTATGAACCAGGAGGTCACGATTTGATTCCCAGACAGGGCTGATCCCTAGTAAGGAACATGCAGAAGGCAGCCAATGGGTGATAATCTCTCATCATTCATGCTTCTCTCTCTCCCTCCCCCGCCCTTCCTCTCTGAAATCAATAAAAACATATTTTAAAAAATTCTCTATAGGTTTGGATGTTTCTGACATCTATATCCTTTCCTAAGAAGTGATGAAGGACATGGGGGGGGAGGAGGGGGAGGCGGCTCCCTCCTTCCTCACACCAAGCCCTGCCTCTGGCCCCTCTCTAGCGGGCCCCTTCCCTGCTCACAAGGACACTGCGGCCAGCCTCCAGGCTTCTGTCTCAGGCCACATCAGACCTGCGGGGGAGGCCTGTCCTGATCCACCCCCCCCCCCTCAGGTCTGTGAGTCACAGACTTTTCACAGCCCCTGCTCGCCAGCGGCTTCTCAACTTTCGTTGGGGTTAGGACTGACTTTTAAAGTTCTACTGACTGGAGAACAAGAATTCATAGATTTGTTAAATAAATTGACAACGGAAACTCTAAGACATTAACTGCTAAACAAGGAAATGGCACAAAAAGGTGACTGTCAGAAAGATTAGATGTTTAAACGGAAAGAAAAGGGCTCCATCTCACTAGTAATGTTTAAATTCAAGTGGAAACACGAGCCCAGCTCTGGCGTATCACAGCAGCGGGAACGTGCACATGTGAATGCACATGATGGTGATTAGCTGAATAATTACAAACACGTCATTTGTCCGTTTAAAGCCACGATGCACTCATTTCATGTTAACATAAACAGTTTTTTCTAGGTAGGGAAACGAAGAGCATCGTTTTATATTTTTGCAATTCTCTGTAGTGCCTGATTTAGTAAAAGGCAGCTGGGTTCTCACTTCTGCTTCTGCATTCGGGAAACCCCAGCCTACACCCTGAGAACAGGAGCGAACGGGCCCAGAACTCAGGTTGGTGCTATTCCAGCACCAAGCAGAGGTGGTTTCCAGCCCACGGGGTCCCCAGGCCACCCAGTGAGAGCCCTGATGGATGGCCCTGCTCCAAGGGGAGCGGGCGAGGGGAGGGAAGTGACAGGAGGGGCGGGCAGGTTTTGGAACCCTTCTCTTAACCACACGCGGACCCACGGAAGTCCCCCTCCCCCGCCAGGCAACTGGCTCCACGGAGAAACCCTGTGGTTAGTTGGCACTCACCCACTGTTGCCACCCACAGGGTTTTGCATTGGAGAATTTTTTCTAGGAGGAAACCATCGTAACCCGCAAGGATAGCAGTAGTGGTGGTTAGGCAAAGGGTGGCTTCCAAAGCCCAATGCTCTGCTGCCTTAAAAAAAAAAATAAAATAAAAGGGAAGGATGTGTTCATTACAAATGCAGCCTCCGGGCTTATTAAGAGAGAACACAAATGTAGAACCACGTGACCTGTTCAGTGTGTTTTGGGAAGAAAATAACACATGTATAACCGGGAAACTGCTGATAATAATTGGTTATCTTTGGGGACATACAGAAACTTAAAGAATGTTTAACCTTCCAGCAATGAACAGCATATTGCGTACAAGTGTTCACTGTACAACTGCATTTGGTCCTTAAAGACGGGGCTGCAAGCGGGGCTCCCGCGCGTTCGCTGTGGCCCGGGGGGAGCGCCCAGAGCCCGCTTCTTCCGCGGAGCCCGCCCGGCCGGGCTCTCACTCCTCCCTCGCCTCCGCTCCCCCCGCCCCTCCAGCGGATCCCGCCCGCCCGCCCGCCTCTCTAGCCCCGCCCCGCCCCGGGCCCTCGCCCCTCCCCATTGGTTGGATGCCGCCCCGCCGCGTCCAATCGCAGCGCTTTGCGCCAAATTTGAATCGCTGTTTTGGTTTGAATCGGGGGACGGGGCGGGAGGCTTTCCGCGCCTGCGTCGCCGACGCCGCGCAGCTCGTGGACGCGGCTGGGCGGGCACCGGGCACCGGGCACCGGGGAGGGCGCCGGCGGGGGGAGCGGGCTGCGGCGGAGGTGGGCGCGCGCCCGGGGCTGAGGCCCCGACCCTGTAGCGCGGGGCGGGCGGTGGGCGCTGGGTGCGAGTGGACGCGGGGCGGGCTCCTCACCGCGCGGACTTGGATTGCGCCCCGACGAGCAGTGGACGCACGGGTGGCGGTGCAGCGATTCGTCGGTGAGTCTGGGCGCCGCGGGGGCGGGGGCCGGAGCCGCGGACTCCCCTCCGGGCAGTGCGAGAGGCGGGGCTGGAGCCGCGGTGACTCCTCGGGGCTGTGCCAGGGGCGCGGGCCCAGCACGGTGACCCCTCGGGGCTGTGCCACGGGCGCGGGCCCAGCCGCGGTGACCCCTCGGGGCTGTGCGGGGACCGCCCCGGAGCGCGGCCAAAGGGGTCTTGGAGGGAACTCCCGGGGGACGGGACCCTGGCGGGCGGCGTCCTGGCCGCGGGTCTTTGGGGGCGATGCTTGCAGGAGGGCGCCCGGGGGGCAGCCCAGGGCCTGGCGGGGCTCCCCAGCTGTCAGATGGGGCGGGGGCCTGGGCGACCGGTGCATTGCGCAGGGAACCCCAGTCGCCGACTTACAAGCGGCTGCTTGGCTCTTTGCTCTGAGAGTAGCCGCCCTCCCCGCAACCCGCGTTTTCTGCTTCTGTTGTTTGATCCAGCGCGTGGTCCTGCGGGGAAGAGCTGCTCGCTAGGTTTGCTTCCGCCTGACCTTCCCATAAGGATCAGTCGCCAATTCTCGTTAGAAAATGGGCCCGACAGGTCGCCTCGTGACCATCAAGAGGAGCGGGCTGGACGGCCCCCACTTCCCACTGAGCCTGAGCACTTGCTTGTTCGGGAGGTGAGCCCTGCGCACGCGTGAGACCTGAAGGCCCCAATTCCAAGTGACCAGGCCGGGCCTCGGCCCCTCCGCTGTCACCCTGGCTGGGCACTTCCCTGTACTGTCAACTCCGGGGAGCGGCTTATTACCAAAGAGAATTTCAAGACAATGTTTGTGTGTTAACTGGTGCTTCAGGCGAACATACGTGTTGAAATTGATTTGATGCACATGTTTAAATGGAGGAACGTGTAGGTGGTTGCAGTGCCCTGACTCCCTTCTGTAGAAGACGGCCGTGTTCATCTGAAAACCCTGGGGACGCAGCCGAGCAAAGGAAGGAAGGAGGCTCCTGTCGGGCTAGTGTTGTGAGAGCTTCCCTTCCTGTGTCACCCTGTGGGCGGTGCATGCCTCCATGAGCAGAGGTAGGGGTGCAGCCACCCGCCCGGCCCGAACCGGAGGGTCCCCACCAGGAAGCATTATGTGGCCGGAAAGGTCCGCAGCGTGAGGTTAAGAAGCACTCCCTGCGGTGGTCCCAGCTGGCAGTCTCCTGACAAACGACCTCCCAGTGCTAATGAGACAGTCTCTCTTCCTGGAACTTTCTCACCTAAAGAACAAATCATCTTTCACTTAAAGTAGCTGTTCACTTTTCATAGCTTTTCTAAAGAAAAAAAAATGTTTAAAAACATGTTGGTGTTGAATGGCAGTAACTGTGGTTATTATACAGCAACGATGAACGTTTTTATGCACGATTTTGTCATTTAGAAACTCATTAGTAAGTGTTTGGTCGTGGGACATGGTTGGGAAGAGAGATCTTAGACTCCAGAGGTTCAGGTTGAGAACAGAGATCAGAGTCTAGAGTTGTTCAAACTCTAGTTACTAGATGGTAGCGGGGACCCCCAGCGGACCTCACCGAGGGCCTCAGATGGGTTTCTGTGGGTTTGGGAAGTCTCCCTCTCTGTGCTTCCTGCTGGCGCTAGCTTTTTGTGAAAAGACAAGTCAAATCTAGAGAATGTGAGTTGTTTTTTTTGTTGTTGCTTTCAGGTTAGTACTTTTAGTGATAGATTTGTGCATCTGTCAGTAAATGGACTATAGTTTTAAAACAACAGTAACAAGCTCACAAGTAGTAGCATTTACTGTGTGCCAGCCAAATGATGACATGCATAACTCATTTTACCCTCTGAAGAACACCATGATATAGGTGCTAATGTAACCCTGTTTTTGTCTATAAAGAAACAGGCACAGAGAGGTGCTGGCATAAAATACAGCACTTCTGGTGATGATTAAACCTTGAACTATACATGACATTACAAGTGAACATAAGCCTTTGTGTTGGGAAAAAAAAAAGCAGGATTAAAAGTAATTTTCATTCTCAAAACTGATGTAAAATATTCCTTTAGTTGGGTCTTATAAGCATAGATATCTTAGTAAAAGGCAAATCAATTTTATATTGTAACTAGAGGCCGGACACATGAAACTTGTGCAAGGGCCTTGACCCCCCCCCCTCCCCTGCCCGCCCACCTCTGCCTGGGGGGAGGAGCGGGCGGGGCCCTGCTACCCCACTGGCTTTCTCCGAAAGGAAGAACATCCTGTCTAATTAGCATATTACCCTTTTATTATTATAGATGTTTTCTAGTGTAATTATCTTTAAGTACTCTAAATGTTAAAGATTTAAAATAGTTGCTTATAGAATACTTGTAAAAATTTTTGGCAAAATCTAGAGAGCATTGATGTTTACCCAGTTTATTAGTTCTTTATGTCATTACATTTATAGATCAAACATAGAGTCAAATGCTGTTTTATTTTGAAACACTGATGTAATTTTTAAAATGCAACAACCTAAAAAAGTCTTCATTCTTTTCAATCCAGGGGCATTGAGTGTGACATTCGTATCCAGCTTCCTGTCGTGTCCAAACAGCACTGCAAGATTGAAGTCAGTGACCAGAAGGTTAGCGGGGCTTGGGGGTCTATTTTTAAAAGTCTTCGCTTCACTTGTTACCTAGGCATGACACATTTCCCCCTTTTTCTACTTTCAGGCAGTCTTGTTTAATTTCAGTGCCACAAACCCAACACAGGTGAATGGATCTGCTATCGACGGGCCCGTGCAACTCAGGCATGGGGACGTGATCACGGTCATTGACCGCTCCTTCAGGTCAGTGGCCATAGGGGGCCTCCTGGCGCTCCGGGAGCCAGCCTTGCAGGCCTTCTGCGGTTCTCCTCAGGGTGGGTGAATGTCCAAGTGTTTGAGATGGACTTTCTCCACGCTGATTCCCGATCTGAAATCACAGGGACATGTGCGGCCGACGTAATCCCGTTCAAGGATTTGAGAACCCATCATGCTGCCCGGGAGGGGTGACCTGGTCCTACGGGAGTTTCACTTTATTGGAAGAGTTGAGACTCTGCAAACGTTTTTCAGTTTATTATTTTAAACTAAAAGGTATTCATAGAGGAAGGTACAAAACAAGTCAGGCGTGAACAGCCCTGTGGACGTCACCTGTTATGGGCTGAATGCCTCCCCCTCCCCCAAATGTATGTGTCGAAGTCCTCACCCCTAGGACCTCAGAACGTGAGGCAGGGCTTAAGGGCTTTTAAAGAGGTGGTTAGGTAAAATGCAGCCGTTAGAACAGGCCCTAATCCGATCTGACTGGTGTCCTTAAAGCAGAGGAGATGAGGACACACAGAGAGAACCAGGGGAGCAGGTGCTCAGGGGGACAACTGTGTGTACAGGTGGCAAAGGGAAACCACAGCAAGGCGAGAAGCCAGCCCCAGAGGAAACCAACCCTGCCGACACCTTCACCTTGGACTTCTAGCCTCCAGAACAGTGAGACAGGAAATTGCTGAAGCCACCCAGTGTGTGGTGTCTTGTTACAGAAGCCCGAGCAAACTAATCCACCACCTACAGCATACTCAGAAGATGCCTGAAGCTTCTCTCACGCAACTTCTAATCTCTGCTTATTTCTCTGACCTCGCTTTCTGATCGCACGAAAGCCTGGAGTTTTACTGCGTAAGCCTGCATCCCTAACCACCGTGCTTTTGTCTGTCTATTAAACTCCATCAATTTGTAATAATGATGGACATATTTGTAACTGATTTCTTCCCTTATGGTGGTGGCATTCAGTGCGTGAGTATTTCTTTGAAATAATATAGGGTGTCCCAAAATGTACGCAAGATTTGCAATTGAATTGAATTGCAAATCTTGTGTGAATTTTGGGACACCCTATATATACAGTTACCTACACAATCTATTCACTCTGGATGGACGTGTGAGTAACTTCATGTTTGAAATGCGTGGGGGTTTGCTTTGTGATACCATAGGGTTAACTTTTTACTAATCTGTGTTTGAAAAGAAGGTGTGTTCTTCAGCTGTTGGGGGCAGCGTTCTGTCTATGGTCTGTGCCCATTAGGTTCAAATTCTAGAATCACAGTAGTCGCCTCCCCCCCCCCCCCCGATTCTTAGCTACTGCAACCAGCGAGTGAAAATCACACATCAAGGGCATTTTGTTTTTCGGCTCTTGTCAGTTTCCTTTCTATGCTTGGTGGCTCTGCTCTCCACGTGTTTAAGTTTAGAATGATCCGGTGGGTGAGGCTCTATCATGTGTCATCTTGATGTGTTCTGTGCCTTTAGTAGTGCTTCTGATTAGGATTGCACACTACTTTTTTTTAATCACATACTTTGAACTTTTCACAATCCTTAAGGTTGAGGTTGTCTCTTGGAACCAGCTGTTAGGGGCACGTTTGTTATCGTCAGTCTTGTGGGTTTGCTTGGTCTCTGAGAACAATGTTTGTCTGTTTTTTCTGAGTTGGCGTAGCCTCTCCAGCCCTCTTCTGGTTGCTGTTTGCAGGTATACCTTTCCCACCCTTTTACTGGCATCCTGTTTGTGTCTTTGAATCTAAGTTGTGTCTCTTGAAGAGACGTGTAGTTGGATCATTTTTCACCCATTTTGCTGAGCGGAGCTCTGCCTTCACTATGGCCTTTGTTAGATAATAGTACTGTCTATTGTGCCTCCTGGCATCCGGTCATTTCTTTTACTGTGCTTGTTGTGAATTTGCTTCATTTTTAAAGGGTATGTTTATTGGCTAGAGAGCTCTAGGTAGGAAGTATTTGATGTGAAACCGAGGCCAGAACTATTTCCCCAAAAGGAGCTGCTGTTCAAGTTCACATTACTTGAGATGACTGACTACGTCCAACAGTGAGTTGGAAACGGGTCTTAGGAAGAGGACTGGATCCAGAGCTCTGCTCCCTGAGAAACCATCCCAGAATCCTTGCTGCTCCCGATGGCACTCAGGTGGCATCTAAGTTTGAATCAGGCCCTTTCACCAGGTACCCAGGTTCTGTCTGCCTTTTACGCGGCTGTTCTGTGATGCAGAGCCCGCGGTTTTGTGAGGGCAACGATGCGTCTTGCTGGCTATCTCTCATCTTCATGCAACGTGCCCGCCTCTGTTCAGACACAGGTGGAATAAGTGGGGGCTGACGAGATCAGAGTGCTTTCAAGGTATCGCATAGCTCTAGTCTCTGCAGGAAGCGACGTCACAGAGGTTCAGGCATCGGCTGCCCCTGGCTTCCTGGTTAGCCTTCCAAGCCATTGGTTGATTTCCTTGAACGTAAACTAGCGGACACCGATTCTGTTCCCACTGCAGTAGGTCCGCACATAGCAGGTACTCAGGGAGCATGAATCATACAGGCTGGTCAGTGCTCAGAAATTAGTCGGGGTGCCCAGCCTCAGACTCCGGTGTTCCGAAAGAAAGTCAAGGCAATCAGCTCTAAATTTATTTCCAGGAATAGGGTAGCATCTTGAAGTTTGCTCCTTATTCCTTGGATATTCATCAGATACTCAGGCTACAGGTCAGTAATCTGAATATGTGTCTGTCATTCTGTGCACTTCAGGTATGAAAGTGACAGTCATCAGAACGGAAGCAAGTCACCTGAATTTCCAGGACAAAGACGTGAACAGGTGACCGGGTTGGGGTGGTATCAAACTTTGGGCTCTGATTCTTTTGCATGAAGACAGGAAATCATTTATGTGCACCCTGATGACCAGTGTCTCACAAGGGAGGGTGACGTACCAGTTAGAATAGGAGAGTGTAACCAAGGTATTAAAACAAGGTGAACTTAGATTACTTTTTTTTCAATCCTCATCTAAGGATGTTTTCATTGATTTTTTTTTTTTTTTTTTTTTTTTTTTAATGAGAGGTAGGGGAAGAGAGAGAAACATCAATATGAGAGAGAAACATCAATCGATTGCCTACCATACTAGCCCCAACTAGGAAATAACCAGAGAGCAAACCCACAATCTAGGTATGTGTCCTGACCGGGAATCGAACCTGCAATCTTTTGGCTTATGGGATGATGCTCCAACCAAGTGAGCTACCTGGGCAGGGCAAATTTTACTTCATTTTTATGTAGTCATAAGTGTCTTGATCAAGTTCAGGTTGGAAATTAGAAACTGGCCCTTCCCATGGGAAGTTTGAGAAGCCGCATGTTAGATATCAAGAAATTGGAAATCGATTAAAGAAAGAAGTTAAATTATTTGCCTTTGGATATATTTTGTGATATCCCCTCCCTCTTAATTATTCAGATGATATATTTTTCTCCTTCTTGGAAACAATACTGGACTTTATATCTTAAATACATGTCATTCTGTGGTTGCTCCTCGGCCTCTAGAACATTCTCTGGCAGCACTGTCAGGGGTCCACGTGGGTGTGCTGGGGCTGGTCCTGTGCCCCGAGTGGGTAGTGTCTGCCTTAACTTCTGGGCTCAGACACACCCTAGGTGTCTGCCAGCCAAGAGCACACACGCGGAATGGAGCCCACAGGTCCTGTGCCGATTTCTGGTGAAGCCGAGTATAAAGTCAGTAGTTCTGTGCCTTTGGTAGGCTCGCGGGTACTGAGTGTCGGTGATGTTTACGTTTAACGTCCCTCAGATGACGAAGGAGAAGAAGTCTGAGGACGTTATAACAGCTCGCACGCACCCCATCACTATGTCTTTTAAATCAGCGGAGAAATACTTGTATCTAAGCAGTAGCGCCTGCGAGTCTCCGGCCCATTTCTCAGTCTCCCAAAGTCATATAAGAGCAGTTGGCAAAGATGCGCATCGGTAGACAGGGTATTTTCATGAACTTGGCTGTTGGTTTCGGAAAAGGCACTAAATGGCTGTTCACTCTTTACCAATTCACAGGCATCTCCGAGTCGGGTCTCAAGGTCTAGCTTCTCTTCCAACCCCGGTAAGTAGTTTTTCATTCATTCTAGATCTGCAAGGCCAGTTATCTTAGCATAATGACAAGGAGGGGACACCAGTGTCACACATGTCCGACGTCCAGGCTCAGGCAGACCCCGGGTTAACTTTCTTCTCCAGTCATGTGGGGGCTTATTGGAGAAGCCACACGTAAATAAATTGTCTTGCTCAGCTGTCTGCTGAATTCTGAGTAGAATAATAGCATTTTATCTCAGATTAGCTACAGGAGACTAATGTGATTTACTTATTTGGATCAGATCATAATATTAGTATCAGAATACTGTTCTTACCATTTTGGGACACTCAGTAACGTGTAGGCTAAGTGAAGAGCTAGGCGATAAGGTAGTTTGAAACAGTTGTAAGATTTGAATACTGCACACGTTAACCATTGAGAACATCTGGTTTCTTATTTCATGTCTCGCTGTCAAGATGGGAAAGTTCAAGATCCCAGTGCCGCCCGCTCACAAGTCACTGAAGAGGGTGGTTCAGGAGGGCCCCGGGAGCGCAGGGAGCATGTCGGGGCAACCCGCACCCCCTCACGTGGCTCAGAAGGTCCCACTACCAAAGGCACAGCAGATGTTGGTTCCTCAGAGCCCCCTGGAGATAACCACGGAAACGCAGCCGGTCCCCCTGCTGGGGGATTCGGAGCAGGTTCCCATGTGACCCCCCAGCGCTGGAATGGGGGACAGGGTCTGGAGAAGGACGGAGCGAATGAGTCTCCCTTTCGGAAGCTCTATGAGTCTATGAAGGAAGAGTTAGATGTGAAATCGGAGACTGTTCTACAGAATCGTAGGAAATCGGGAGCACGGGGTCATCGTGCATCAGAAGCCGAAAGCGCTGGCGGTTCACAGAGCGCGACTCAACCACGGGTCTCGCCCAAGTCCAGGCGGAGATCTGGTCGGAGCAGCCAGATGGAGGCAGAGAGAGCGGGTGAGGGGCCGGGTCAGACTCTCGAGGCCACCGCGAATCCCAGCATCCCCCCCACAGAGATGACCAAAGCCAAGACCCCAGTCCAATGTCCACAGCCCAATTCCTCCCGGAGACGCCGGAGCGGAGACCTGAGTGTCACCCCTGGGGGTGAACCTGTGAGTCTGCAGCAAAGCGAAGACCTCGGGGCAGGCAGTGCGGTGTCTGCTCCCAGGAGGCTCTCGGCCAGACAGCAAACACCCGCCAAAGGAGAAGGCGCTGGCGACCTTGGGAACACAGCAGAAAAAGTCTTTTCCAGAAAAAGGAGAAGGAGCCTGTCTCCCAGTGCCAGCATTCTCACCACAGGAACAGACATTCCAAAGCAGACCCTGCTCTCCCCGCTGCTGGTCCCCGCGGAGCAGAAGGTTCCAGGCAGGGCCCTGGGCACGCCCAGGCAGCAGGGCACCCCCGGTTTCCCGGGCCTCAGTGCAGTGGATGTCAGCAACATTGGCGATTCCCTTAGTAAGTTTATTTCACTTTAAATTCATTTTCCCCCGAACGTTCACACGTACCTGTGACCTGTGTCTAGGTATGAATTTGTGACACGCCTTTCTAAAATAACACTTTGCTCTGTGGCCGAGGAGCCAGGGCACTAAGGGGACAGCCAGGCATCCGTGTCCCTTGTCCACGCTGAGAGCTTTGTCCTGAAGACCTGGCTAAGGGGACAGGGAGTGACAGGAGGTGCGGGCTGTTAGAGAAGGACCAACATAGCAGGGGCGGAAGGCTGCTCCGAACAGGCTTGGTTCTATTCCAGCCACAACCTAGAAAGGAGAATGAGCAGCATCGCTTTGCCCAGGCAGCTCCATTCTGAGGCACAAGCACCGGTGTCCTATGGGCTTGATCCAAGTCAGCGGCGAGCCCTTGGGAAGCTGTTATTATAGGGTGGCCCTCGGGTATTTGTTCCCACGAGCTGCTGTTTGGGGAGCTTTCCCGACATCCACACTTTGACCCTCCGTGCCTGCAGCAGGAGCGCCCAGCAGGAGCGTCCGCAGGCCAGGTGGTGGAGCTAACGGGCAGTTCTCTCTGTTCTGCAAGTGAGGAAGCTGACAGCCTAATGCCCCCAGTGAGTGGCGGAGGCAGGGCCTCTGTGGCCCCCGTGGCTCCTGGGCAGCCTGCCCTCTGCAGGGTCTCCGGGCGTCTGACACGGCCCTGACCACGCAGGCTGTGCTTCTGCAGGGTGCGTAGTGCAGAGCCGTGCAGGTCTGTAAAACGAGACCTCCAGGCTCACGGTGTTGATTGCTGGTTTGTAAAGATGTGTGTGTGGGGGGGGGGGGGGGGGGGGGCTGGGGTCCCGTGAATTGCCTGTGAGAGTCACCGGCAGAACTTTGCCAGCTCGTTCTACTCACCGTGCATGTCCAGGTGAGGCCCCAGGATGTGTCTTTTGGGAAAGTTTTCTCGCGTCACTGCTAAAGCATCCATCTCCATCAGCCCTGGCTCCACGGTGAGCGCCCCTGCGTCAGGCCGATCCCCTTAGGAAGCTGTGTCCAGGCAGGAGTTTTCAGCATTTTAAAGAACATCTCTGTACTGTCGAGTTGGGCCAGGCATTTTGATGGTTTGGCCCCGATCTGTCGTTTGCTCTTGAAGCACCTTTAGCTTCCCTGGCGTCACCAGAGAATGAAGGTATTTCGGCACCAGGAGTCACTGGTTTGTCTTTAAGATCAATTGGAAACAAGTCATAAGTACCAGGATGGTTTTTCATTCCCTTTCCCGTTTGCATTCATTCCTTTAGATAAGACCGAGGGGAAGCCCTTCAAAAGAAGGCGGGTCTCCTTCGGGGGTCATCTGAGACCTGAATTATTTGATGAAAACTTACCTCCTAATACACCTCTCAAAAGAGGAGAAACGCCAATGACAAGACGCTCTCTGGTCACCCACACTCCGCCCGTCCTGAAGAAAATCATCAAGGTACGTTCCCTAGCTGGCTTTCGCCCTCCTGCCTGATGGCTCACGTCCGGGTACCTTCTCTCTCCTAGCTGCTCCCACGAGTAGAATTACAAATAAACCTCCTTTCTAATATAAAGTAACAATAAAAAGTCTAAACGAGCTCATTCACCCGGGTGTTGCAAATGAACACTTGGTTTCTCCCCGCGGCTGGGAGGTGGCCACGCACAGGTGAGAGCCCGCGGGTCGTCTTGCACAGCCTCCTGCCGGCCGTCTCCAGGGCGGGAGGGCCACTCTGGGTCACAGTGACAACTCCAATGAGAAGAGTCCGGGGACATCAGGACACATGAGCACAGGGCGGCTGCTTGTTCTCCAGGAGTGTAAGGCGAAAGGGAACGCTTGGTTAGGAACACGCTGCGATTCTCATCATCAGCTGCTTAGAGCTGCAATCAGCTCAGGGAGGCTGTGCTTCCATTGCTGTTCATACGCAGAGGCACACAAGGGGTGTGTGGCCTCTTCCCGTTTTACACTGGCTCCCGAAGAGCAGCCTCCTTTCCCGCAGGGAGGCCTCAGGTGGCCGCACACCCACAGGTGCCTTCGCTGGGACCCAGGGCACAGCCCTGGCCTCTCCTCGGGCGGTTCCCTCCATCTTTCCTCCTCAAACACCCCAGGGAAGGCTTGTTTGCTGCTTTTTTCTCTCTTTTTTCTTAAATGGTGGGGGACAGACTCTCACCCCCACCTTGCTCTTGACAGCGGGTGAAATGTTTTGGTGCTTCAAGATTTAAACAGCGAAAATTCTTGGGGTGTGTCTATTCCAATCCAGCTTTGTTACAATTATTCGAGAATTGGGGAGCAGTACGAAGACTTTCCTATGACCACCAGACGTGCTTGTTTCTGGTTTGTGGGGGTTCTTGTGCTTTGAAAGAGTCAGTTCTTACTCGGGTGAGTCATCACAGAGGTTCCAGAGGTGCCGCGTTTGTAGGAAGCTAACTTGGGAGCGTTTCCATCTCGCCAGGAACAGCCTCCGCCATCAGAAAAGGGAGGATCTTCAGAAATCCGTTTGGAAGTGACCACACAAAACATGTTTACGAGCTCCCTGGTGCATAGTCCTCCAAAAACGTCTCCACTTGCAAATGATGGTCGCCGGCGGTCCCTCAAATCGCCTGCCTCGAGTGGCAGCAAATCTCCACATCAAACAGATGCTCCTCAGAGGGGAGGGAGGCGGAGCAGCAGCGGGCCTGCCAGGAGGGCCTCCGTGGACCGCGGCCAACATGGCATCCTGCAGACAATTCAATCCCGGCGGCGGAGCGGAGCCTCAGAGGCCAATTTGATGGGTTAGTGTTGTGGGAATGCGTATGTTTCGGGGTGAATTTCCTCACTGCTGCCAGCGCTGGGAAGTTTCACCTCCTTTTCTTTTCGACAGTGGCGAGATCGTGGGCAGACGTCGTGAAACTTTGTGCCAAACAAACGCAAACTAAAGTCGTCGTGAGACATGGTCCTCCAAGACCGCCGAGCAAAAGGCAGAGAAGAACGAACACCCCAAAGGTCTGTGTCCACGGTGCATGGCCGCTACCATCATGCTCTCCGGAGTTACCTTCCAAGCGGCTGTGTTTTGACGTTCCATGCTCTCTTGCCTTTCTTCCAGAAGCCTCTGGGCAGTGTTCACAACGAGTTCAGTACAGGCCACGCCGCCTCTCCCTGCACCATCGTGATAGGGAAGGCTCACATCGAAAAGGTCACCGTGCCAGCTCGGCCCTACAGAATGCTGAACAACTTCGTGATCAACAAAAAAATCGACTTCAATGAAGACCTTTCAGGTAAAATCATAGGCATGTCTCTCTTTTTTAAAAAATATATTTTACTGATTTTTTACAGAGAGGAAGGGAGAGGGAGCGTTAGAAACATCGATGAGAGAGAAACATTGATCAGCTGCCTCCTGCACACCTCCTACTGGGGATGTGCCCACAACCAAGGCACATGCCCTTGACCGGAATCGAACCTGGGACCTTTCAGTCCGCAGGCCGACGCTCTATCCACTGAGCCAAACCGGTTAGGGCTAGGCATGTCTCTTTTAACCACAGCCCTTAGCTCTGGGAGGAAGTGGATGGGTGTCTGTCTGCAGAGGGGGACAGGAGACCAAACGATCCAGTCAACTTCTTGGGGTTAGGATGGTCCAGGACGAGAAAGCTGCATCTGGGAACAGGGACGGGCCCCCAGCACCTTGGCGATCACATGTCCTGCATGAGGCAGGCATGCAAGGCAGATGCACACCTTTACCTCAGAGAGCAGCACAGGTGTAAATAAAACTGGAAGCTGCTCTCAGGAAGGAGACCGTCTTGCTCTTATAATTGTCCCTTCCCTGCACTTATACGAAGCAATTTCCCAGAGTTGGAGCAACTGGTGTGAGCAATGTTTTGCTTCAAGAGTTCCTTTTTTTCATGTCACTTAACTGTTTCATGAATCAAAGGACTGTGAAGAAGTTTTCTTTAAGCGTGAATAATGTTGAGCCAATGTTGCCTTTCTCATTAGAAGAATCCTTATGATTGTAGCAGATTTGAACCATGGCCAGACCCAGGGTTAGGGTTTCATGCCACCAAGTTGGACCAGTGGTTCCCACTTTGGATACTTGTGGAGGGAGATGAGGCTTTAGCCTGTTAGGTGGGCTCTTTTATTTCAGGGCAGGTTGTAACATAGAAGAGTTGTCCTCGGAAAAGATGGGGATGTTATTACCTGACAGTACTAAAATGGACAGCCCTGTGTCATTTTTAAAGTTGGGGGACGTTTCACTTGTACATAATTAGTATTCAGAGTTGCATAACCTCGGGCATTTTGAAGGCAGCACAAGGTCACTAGGTCTCTGGGTGCCTGGCAGAGCAGGCAGTGAGGGCGGCCGCCATCCTCCGGCCAGTGCTCAACTGGGCACAACGTCGGGAGACAGACAGCTTCCTTTGCTTGCTTTTCTTTCCAAGGGGAAAGGCAAAGAAGAGGGAGCACCTATGAGATTTTACCATCCTATCACCCTCTTTTAACAAAATGATTTTATTATTATTAATGTATCTCCTCCCCGGAGACCCTCTCTCCCAGGAGTTCTAGGGTGTGATTCCTCGGTTGTGTGTGGGGACTAACATGTTGTTTGCATATATAAGAGTGATCTATTCATTGTTTTTTCCACTATTTCCATATAACAGGGTTAACTGAAATGTTCAAGACCCCAGCAAAAGAGAAGCCACAAACAATGAACATAGGTCCCACCACTTTTTCAAGTTCAGAGGACTTGCTTGGGAAAAAGTTTCAAGCACTTAATTCAGAAGAAGAAGCTCTGCTCTGCACCCCAGAAAAGTTTGGTTGGTTTACTTTTTTTTTTTTTCCCCTAACTCTCTTGATGTCTTCCATAGAACTGTAGATGGGGGTGTTGTTGTTTGTAACAGATATTGTATTATTTCTCTACAACAGGTACTCATGATAAGATACAGTTTCCAGCGTCTCTGTTCTATTGCTTTAGGGGAAATCCCTACCCACAGTTGAACCCGCACTGGCATTCAGTGACTTGAGTGGAAAGGATATGCCTTTAATAATCAAACCACCTGTGAACACGTTTGCCTTCTTTATTATAAGTAAAGAGGGCGCTAAGCAGAAAAGTGTAATCTCTCACCATACTTATATGTAAATTACTCAAACTCACAATAATTGCACATTGTCCAAGTGTGGGCGTGAGATGGGAGGCATGAGTCTGTCTTGCTCTCGTTTTGTACCATGTGTTTTAGAGTGAGCTCCTTGCCACACTGAACAGGCTTCCGTAGGTGAAAAGTAGATGTTTCCAGTGTGACGTGGACGTTGCAGCCATATTATTGCATTGGTGGTTCAAAAGGAAACAGCTGCTTCTCATGTTTGAAGGAAACAGGTCACTGAGATATGGCGGGGCAGCCTTTAGGAGACCCTGCTGTGGGAATTTTTTTCCTGATCTAATCCCTGTGGATTCTAACCACCACCTATGTATGAGCCCACTGTATACCACCAAATACCATTATTCTTAAACGTGCATGGTTCATATGTCAGACAGATTTATAACCACACAAGCAGATTCATATTGTTAGTAAGGTGGAGAGGAGGGTGAATTATTGCCTCATACACAATATTTCCTGAGGGTAAAATACCAAATTGGTTACAACACAATGAAGAGAATATATTTATTGTGCTTTTTTTTTCCTTACAGGAGAAAATGTGTACCTCAGGGCTCAGAATGCACCAGAAGGGCCATGGGATAAACAGTCTTCAAGCCCAGCCTTAACACAACAGTATGTTACAGTAAATGGAAATATGAAAACCCCACGATCTGAGACAGAGCCTCCGAAGGCGGCATCCAGTACAAACAAATCCAGGAGGTCCGTGGAGCTCAGAAATATACAGGTGACAAGTGCAGAATGTGAAAAGGATGACAAAGAAGTTGACACTGTTCAGAACATCTTGGGAAGATGTCTGAGAAAATCATCAGTACAAGCACAACTACCAGAGGGAGAGATGAAGGAAAGGGAAAGATCCTTTGAAACATGTAAGAAAAATATTGAACCTAAAGAAAATTCTGAAAAACTGATCACTGTGAGGAGATCAAGGAGATCATCAGAGCTGAAATGTACACCAAGAGCAGGCCTGATCCGCATCCAGAGATTGCAAGAGACAGAATCCAAGGAAGACTTGGAGGGCATCCACAATTTCCTCCAAAACCCAAGTCATGCTGAGGAACCAGTGGGTACAGAAGCCAAAACCATACTGATGCACTGCAAATCTCCACCACCAGTCAGCACACCAACCAAGGTGAACACACGTATCAAGACTCCTTCCCAGAGAGTGAACGTAGATCTCTCAGACCTCAGGAAGCCCACACAAACCCCAGGGGACACAACCGATACACAAAAAGAACCAGTAGGTGGTGACAAAAGCATGAAAGAATTTAAGGAAGCTCCAGAACAGAAACTGGATTCATCAGAAAATGTAACGAGAAGCAGGAGGAGGTCAAGAACACCCAAGAGGAAGGTTCAACCCATAGAAGACCTGGCGGGCTTCAAAGAGCTCTTCCAAACACCAAATCACATCGCAGAAACAGTGATTGATGACAAAACCACCAAAACACCCTGCAGATCTCCAAAACCAGAACCAGTCAGCACACCAACCAGTACAAAGAGACGTTTCAGGACACTTCTGGGGAAAGTGGACGTGGAGGAAGATCTCTCATCACTCAGGAAGCCAACACCAGGGGAAACCACACACTCGCACAGAGAGCCAGAAGGTGATGATAAAGGTATCAAAGCATTTAAAGAAACTCCAAAGCAGATACTGGACTCAGCAGAAAATATAATTGGGAGCAGAAGGTCAAGAACACCCAAGAAGAAGGTTCAACCCATAGAAGACTTGGTTGGCTTCAAAGAGCTCTTCCAAACACCAGATCATATGATGGAATCATTGACTGATGACAAAACCACCAAAACACCCTGCAGATCTCCAAAATCAGAACCAGTCAGCACACCAACCAGCACAAAGAGACGTTCCAGGACACCTCTGGGGAAAGTGGACGTAGTAGATGAGCTCTCATCACTCAGGAAGCCAACACCAAGACCAAGGGAAACCACACACTCGCACAGAGAGCCAGAAGGTGATGATAAAGGTATCAAAGCATTTAAGGAAACTCCAGAACAGAAACTGGATTCATCAGAAAATGTAACTAGAAGCAGGAGGAGGTCAAGAACACCCAAGAGGAAGGTTCAACCCATAGAAGACCTGGCGGGCTTCAAAGAGCTCTTCCAAACACCAAATCACATCGCAGAAACAGTGATTGATGACAAAACCACCAAAACACCCTGCAGATCTCCAAAACCAGAACCAGTCAGCACACCAACCAGCACAAAGAGACGTTCCAGGACACCTCTGGGGAAAGTGGACGTAGTAGATGAGCTCTCATCACTCAGGAAGCCAATACCAAGACCAAGGGAAACCATATACTCGCACAGAGAGCCAGAAGGTGATGATAAAGGTATCAAAGCATTTAAGGAAACTCCAGAACAGAAACTGGACTCAGCAGAAAATGTGATTGGGAGCAGAAGGAGGTCAAGAACACCCAAGAGGAAGGTCCAATCCATAGAAGACCTGACTGGCTTCAAAGAGCTCTTCCAAACACCAATTCACATCACAGAAACAGTGACTGATGACAAAATCGCTAAAACACCCTGCAAATCTCCAAAATCAGAGCCAGTCAGCACACCAACCAGTACAAAGAGACGTTTCAGGACACCTCTGGGGAAAGTGGACGTGGAGGAAGAGCTCTCATCACTCAGGAAGCCAACACCAAGACCAGGGGAAACCACACAGTTGCACAGAGAGCCAGAAGGTGATGATAAAGGTATCACAGCATTTAAGGAAACTCCAGAACAGAAACCGGACTCAGCAGAAAATGTAACTGGAAGCAGGAGGAGGTCAAGAACACCCAAGAGGAAGGTCCAACCCATAGAAGACCTGGCTGGCTTCAAAGAGCTCTTCCAAACACCAATTCACATCACAGAAACAGTGACTGATGATAAAATAACTAAAACACCCTGCAAATCTCCAAAACCAGAACCAGTTATCACACCAACCAGCTCAAAGAGGTGTTTCAGGACACCTCTGGGGAAAGTGGACTTGCAGGAAGCGCTCTCAGCACTCAGGAAGCCAACACCGAGACCAGGGGAAGCCACGCATTCGCACAAAGAGCCAGAAGGTGATGGTAAAAGCACTGAGTTATTTAAGGAAACTCCAAAGCAGGAACTGGACTCCGCAGAAAATGTAACTGGAAGCAGGAGGCGGTCAAAAACACCCAAGAGGAAGGTCCAACCCATAGAAGACCTGGCTGGCTTCAAAGAGCTCTTCCAAACACCAATTCACATCGCAGAAACAGTGACTGATGACAAAATCGCTAAAACACCCTGCAAATCTCCAAAATCAGAGCCAGTCAGCACACCAACCAGTACAAAGAGACGTTCCAGGACACCTCTGGGGAAAGTGGACGTGGAGGAAGAGCTCTCATCACTCAGGAAGCCAACACCAGGGGAAACCACACACTCACACAGAGAGCCAGAAGGTGATGATAAAGGTGTCACAGCATTTAAGGAAACTCCAAAACAGAAACCAGAGTCAGCAGAAAATGTAACTGGAAGCAGGAGGAGGTCAAGAACACCCAAGAGGAAGGTCCAACCCATAGAAGACCTGGCTGGCTTCAAAGAGCTCTTCCAAATACCAGATCACACAGTAGAACCAATGATTGATGACAAAACCACTAAAATATCCAGCCAGTCTCCACAACCGGAACCAGTCATCACTTCCACCAGCATGATGAGACAACTCAAGACACCTCTGGGGAAAATGGATGTGGAGGAAGAGCTCTCAGCTCTCAGGAAGCCAACACCAGGGGAAACCACACACTCGCACAGAGAGCCAGAAGGTGATGATAAAGGTATCACAGCATTTAAGGAAACTCTAAAACAGAAACCGGACTCAGCAGAAAATGTAACTGGAAGCAGGAGGAGATCAAGAACACCCAAGAGGAGGGTCCAACCCATTGAAGACTTGGTTGGCTTCAAGGAGCTCTTCCAAACACCAGATCACATCATGGAATCATTGACTGATGACAAAACCACCAAAATACCTTGCAAATCTCAAAACCCAGAACCAGTCATCATGCTAACAGGTAGAAACAGACGTGTCAAAGCTCCTCAAGGCAAAGTGGTTGTAGAAGATGAGGTCTCGGCACTCAGAAGACCCACACGCACACTGGGGAAAACCACAAGGTCCCACAGAGCACCAGAGGTTGCTGATAAAGATACCAAAGTGTTTATGGAAATTCCAGAAGAGAAATCGAACCCTGCAGAAAATGTAACTGAAAGCAAGAGGAGGCCGAGAACACGTAAGGAAAAGGCCCAGCCCCTAGAACACCTGGCCGGCCTCAAAGACGAACCAGAGACTGTTGTCAAAACCACTGAATTGTCCTCCAAATCTCCACAGCCAGAAGCAGTCATGCCAGTGCGCAGGAAGAGGCAGGTCAAGGCCCCTCCCGGGAAGGTGGACATGGAGGAAGAGCTCTCAGCTCCCAAGAAGCCCACACGGACGTCAGCAAAAACCACGAGGTCCCACAGAGCACCAGAGGTTGCTGATAAAGATATCAAATTGTTGAAGGAAATTCCAGAAGAGAAATCGGACCCTGCAGAAAATGTAACTGGAAGCAAGAGGAGGCTGAGAACACGTAAGGAAAAGGCCCAACCCCTAGAAGACCTGGCCGGCCTGAAAGAGCCCTTCCAAATACCAAGTCACACAGAAGAACCAGAGACTGTTGTCAAAACCACTGAAATGCCCTCCAGATCTCCACAGCCGAAAGCAGTCATGCCAGCACGCAGGAAGAGGCAGGTCAAGGCCCCTCCCGGGAAGGTGGACATGGAGGAAGAGCTCTCAGCTCCCAGGAAGCCCACACGGACGTCAGCGAAAACCACGAGGTCCCACAGAGCACCAGAGGTTCCTGATAAAGATATCAAATTGTTGAGGGAAATTCCAGAAGAGAAAGCAGACCCTGCAGAAAATGTAACTGGAAGCAAGAGGAGGCCAAGGGCACGTAAGGAAAAGGCCCAGCCCCTAGAAGACCTGGCTGGCCTCAAAGATGAACCAGAGACTGTTGTCATGACCACTGAAATGCCCTCCAAATCTCCACAGCCAGAAGCAGTCCTGCCAGGGCGCAGGAAGAGGCAGGTCAAGGCGCCTCCCGGGAAGGTGGATGTAGAGGAAGAGCTCTCAGCTCCCAGGACATCAGGGAAAACCACGCAGTCCCACAGAGAACCAGTAGACATCAAGGCATTCAAGGAATCTCCAAGGCAGAAACTGGGTGCTGCAGAAAACACCGAGGGCAGCAAACGCCAGCTAAGATCACAGAAGGGAAAGGCCCAGCTCCCAGAAGGCCCAGCCCGCTGCCAACAACCCTTGCAAAGCTCAATTCAGGATGAGGAACTGGGCATAGGAGCTGAGAGCGTTAGAACTCCAATGCAAGCACCCGGCCAAAGCAAACCTGCAAAGCCCAGAGGAGTCCTCTGGGCCCTGGACGTAAAGCCCGTGGAAGACCAGGTGGGCAGCAGAGACCCTGTAAAGTCCCAAAGGGGGAGCAGCGTTTCCCTGGCCCCCAAAAGGAAGCGTGAAGATGGAAGTCCCACCAGAATGAGGAGGCTGCGCACTGGCACACGAGCACAGGACCCTGCAGAGGAGAAGCCACCACCGAAGAGACAGCGGGCAGCTCCCCGAGAGAGGTGTGAGCTGCCTGAACCCCTGGACGTGAAGAAGAGGCGGGGAGCTTTGGCAGAAAGCACGGAAGACATGCCCAGCGAGGACATGAAAACTAAGAATAGGGGCCGAAGAGCACCGGGGGCGACCTTTTCAGGCAAGGTGAGGATGGCTGCTGCATAGTGACTGGTTGGTGCTCTGGGGGGGACGTTCTCCGTTTCCCCATAATTGGTAGATCGGAAGGAACCTGAGTTTATGTGGGTGCTCCTTCCGGAAGGAGTGCTGAGTACCTGCGGGCCCAGCGGAGAATCCTTTGGGCACCTCTAGAGAGACTAGGCTATTTGGGGAGAAATACAGCTAAAGTTATCACTGCAGATTTTGACAAGATTTTTCTCAGGGACTGAATGAGCTGTGTTCATCCTCAAAGATGTAGAGAGAAGGGAACAGCTCGGCCTGTTCAGACCCCACAGCCAGGAGTGCGGTACCTAACCAGTTAGAACGCTGTCCGGGAGGGATGTCCTCAGCAGAATGTAACTGTCAACTGTCAAGGTTTTCAGTAGAGCGGCCACTCCTTAGGGAGAGAAGATTGGGGACTTCCGGCAGCAGGTTTCCCGGTTCTGCCTTAGCCGGTTCTGCCTTAGCCGTCCTTGAAGCCGGAGGCGTTCATTCACTGCCCATGTTAGGGGCGTGTTCCTGTAGTGCCCTGTGATGCCTGTAACCAGACCTCACATATATGACACTGTGACTGAGGTTTATACCAAACTCCTTATGGTTTATCAGTAGAGGTGGTGATTTCTCCAAAGGAAACAGTAGTTAGATTACTGGCGTTTTAGAAGATTAACCCGTGTAAGACGTTCAGATGAGTTTCCCTCTGAGTTCAGTTTGGGTTTTCCTCCATGTTGGGTGTTCAGATGTGCATCACTTATTCTTGGCATTTTGTGGATGTCTTTTCCGTTTTTTAGGAAATGTCGCTGCGTTCCAGACTCCCAAATAAAGCCAGCAGCGCTGAGCAGACACCTGAGAGTCTCCTAACAGCAGACAAGGTGCAAACAAAGAGGAGTGGGAAGAAGCCCGTGACGGCCTCCCTGGAGGCCGAGAGTCAAACCCCAGAGGATGGAGCCAGGAGCTCTGCATCGGGGGACACGGCCCGTGAGAGGAGAACGCGCCTGAGACCCGGGAGACGGGGGAAGGCGCCCTCGCCCAGCGCGGCCGGGGAGACAAGCGTGGAAACCCACGGGGAGACTCGGGAAGAGAAAGGACCCCGACGTGCGGGCTCCACACACGTGAGGGCACGGAAGGTGACAGTCCCTCCCACCGGGGACACTTTGGAGAGTCAGCCCAAACCGAGAGTGACGCGGAGCGCCAAGCGGCCTGCGGAAAAGTCACAGCAGGCAAGTCGTTTACTGCTTCACTTTTTAAACGGTTTTTACTTTATTTTTTTTTAATAGTTTTCTTGTTTTTTTTAATCCTCACTCGATGTTTTTTCCATTGATTTTCAAAGAGAGTGGAAAGGGTGGGGTGGGGAGAGAGAGAGAAACATCGATGAGAGAGAACAACATCGATTGGTTACCTCCAGCACGTGCCCCAGTCAGGAGGAGGATAGAACCTGCAACCCAGGTACGTGCCCTTACCTGGACTCGAACCCACAACCCTTCTGTGAGCAGCCTGATGATCTAAGCATGAGCCATGCCGGCCAGGGCACTGTTTCGCTTTTTAACGAGCATAGAATGCTCCTGTTGCAAAAGCGAACAAACACGCTGCACGCGCGGACAGGCTCCGGGTTCTACAGCACAGAAGCGCGGGTGTAAAGCGTGAGTTTTGTCGCTGTGGCTGTGGCCAGTGCTGTCTGTCCTGGGAATTCCCGTGTCAACAGCGAATTCACATTATGAAGTCGTGGGTCAGCAGCCGGGACCTCGTCCGGCTAGTGCTTCCCTCTGCTCACTGCACCCCTGGTACTGACATCACAGGTCTCCAGGCTCCCGAGTTCAGGGCCTCACCAAGGCCCAGAGGTGGCCCTGTCGGGTCTCCATGGGGTCCCTTTGGAAAGCTAGAATGACTCCACGTCGGGGGTGTCCCAAGGCACCTCTACTCTTAGGAGTCCAGTCAGTAGGAAGGGCTGTGTCCTGTCACCCTCCCGAGTCAGGTGCCATCTAAGTTAATGGATGGTGAGTGCCCACCGCCTTCAGACTCACAGCCCGAGAGCTGTCTGCACGGGATTAAGCCCACGAAGCAGGATGGCACCCACTCAGCATTCCTCTGGGGAGCCCTCCAATTTGCTGGGTTCAAAGAACAGGCTGAAAGGTCCCCTTGCTGTGAGGGGGACGCAGTTAGAGACCGGCGTCCGCGGGAATTCCTGCTTGACCAGCGGCTGTCGGGTCCGGCACCCGCTGCATAGGCCCTGACGCGGGTCCACCCACGTCCAGGATGGCACCGAATGTCCCTGCCCCTTAGAGTCACGAGGGAACAGGCACAGAGCAGCTGACGTCAGCAAAGACACAGACGGATCTCGATCACGGTGGTTTGGTGGCAAATACAATAATTACTAATAACACAAGCCTTGTTTCCCGTACTCACTACTGTAAACCTGCATTTTGCCCCCAACCCTGGATTCTAAAACTCATCTCCAACCTCCAAATCCCTTCTGGGAAGGGTCGCCCCAGGGAGGGTTGGGGCTCACAGGGCGGAGGGGGTACAGAAGTCCTCGCTCTAAGTGACCGGAGCTGCGTTTCTTCCCAAACAGGAGAACGACGACGCGGCCGGCAAGAAAATAAGGACCCGAAGCCGCCGGGGCCATGACGATGTTTAGCTCAAACGTTCGAGAAGGTGGGGGGGGGGGTTAGGAATGTAGTTTAGTGCTAAGTTCTAGAACAACGTTTGCTGTGAATTTAAACGTGGATTCTGTAAATAATGCTATCCAGGTGCTTAAGGGAAGAAAGCTTTTAAAAAATTATGCTCAATAGTCTATTCAAAAACCCCGCCTGGAGTTATGAAGAGGGTCTCCTGGGTCCCCAGAAATAACAACTTAAGGCGGGTGGGGGTGGGAGGGGAGTTTGAGCCAAGCTGTACCCTTCAACTTTGCCAATGCAGCCCTGAAGTTGACCTCTCCCGGTCAGCCCCGCCCCGGGCTCGAGCACTTGCATTGTAAATGCTTCTGTGTTTGTCTGTGTCCCCGTCAGGACCCCAAAGGCAGGGCCCTCGGGAAGCGATAGGAAGGGGTAAGGGAAGACTCCTGGTGCTTCTAGATGTGTCTTCACGGTGCAGAGGCCTGTGTCGGTGCCCGGGGTTGGGTGTCTGCACAGAGCAGGCTCATCCGGGACTCCAGTCACTCAGGGAATCAACGCGGCCCGGAGGATGGCCTGTGACCCCATCTTCAGGGCACAGGAGTCTGGCAGACATCTCGGGGCCTATTGGTGGCGTGCCTTTTTCACGTGGTATTTGCCTAAACTAGGACTGTGCTCATCTGAGAAGGACCCATCCACCCTCCCATTGGCCAGGGGCTCGGTTCTCAGGCTGACACCGTCTTGGCTCCCAGTGTCAGGCTCCCAGATAGAACGACGGAGCCAAGCAGACCTGAGGTTCTCACATCAGCAGAACAGGTTAACGTTTTCTGAGCTGCTGCTGGCCCTGGGCCCACCTATGCTTTTTCTGGCTGCACCTGTCGGCCTAGGGTGCTCTGCACCCACCGGGGACAGGAAGCAACACGAGCCGTCTTAATGCAAGGCCATTTCTGACGGCAGCAGGCACCAGGGTCCTTCCCCGAGGGCCCGCCCTCTCACTGCGAGGCCGTACCTCCCAATGGAGGGCATACCTCCCAGTGGAGGCTGTACTTCCCAGTTGCAGGTCAAGTCCAGACTTCCGTCCGTTTCAGGCCTAGACATGCATCTAACTGCTGGCATCTCTGTTTTTATGTTCCACTGTGTCCTGTCACCTGTGTGTCCCCTGGTCAGAAAATAGCACATCTTCCATCCAGTCGCCTCCCCATTCACCCGCCTTGCCGGGCTGAGGAGAGGATGGAAGATGAGGTGGCTGTCCCCGAGTGTGAGTGTAAGGGCTGTGCCTGTCTATGCCCTCCTGTCCTCTGTTTCTGGCATGGAGCCATGGTCATAAAAATAAACCTTTGTTAATCAACTGAGGCGTCTGTCTCCATCTGTTGTGCTTTTGGTGCTGCCACCATGCAGTGGTGGGCAGAGTTCAGGGTTGTCTAAGGCCCTAAGGGAGGGAAGGTTGGGGAAGGCAGGGGGAGGGGGTTGAGGGATGCCAGGTTGAGCAGCTCACCTGTCAGGGCTGGTGACAGGTGAGCTGGCCTGGGAAGAGGAGTGGCATCGTGCAGCAGAAAGGACAGCCCTAGCTGGTGTGGCTCAGTGGACAGAGTGTGGGCCTGCGGACTGAAGGGTCCTGGGTTCGATTCCGGTCAAGGACACATGCCCGGGTTGCAGGCTCCATCCCCAGTAGGGGGCGTGCAGGAAGCAGCTGATCAATGATTCTCTCACTGATGTTTCAATCTCTCCCTTTCCCTTCCTCTCTGAAATCAATAAAAATATTTTTTAAATAAAGAAAAAGAAAAAAGGACAGTCTTGGGCCTCAGAAAGGTGCTTGACTGGAAAGTGAGTCATAAATGTGAATTCAGGGAGGGCAAATTCAAGAAAATGAACAATAACGACTTCTTTGATTAGGTTGTTCATGAAGTTCACATATAGAAAAATTTCAATTAGCTGTGTGCCGTGGGAATGGAATATGCTGATTAAGGAAAAAAACAGTAATTAACAAAACTCAAAAAATTAAACATGGAACTGCTACTTGACCCAGTGATCCCACTTGTAGGAATCTATCCTAAGAAACCCGAAACACCACTCAGAAAGAATATATGCACCCGTATGTTCACAGCAGTGTTATTTACAATAGCTAAGATCTGGAAACAGCCCAGGTGCCCATCAGCAGATGAGTGGGTAATAAAGCTGGTACATTTACGCCCTGGAATACTGCGCAGCTGTAAAAAGGATCTCTTACCCTACCCTTTGAGACACAATGGAGGGACCTGGAGAGTATGATGCCAAGTGAAATAAGCCAGTCAGAGAAAGACAAGTGTCACGTGATCTCACTCATGTGGAATCTGAAGAACAAAATAAACCAATGAGCACAACAGATCCAGAGGCGTAGCAGCAGGGAACAGAGTGCGAATCTCAGGGAAGGTGGGGGTGGGTGGGAAGAGGTTAACCAAAGCACTAGGATGCATAAACGCATGGCCCATGGACGCAGTAGTGTGGTGACAGCCTGGGGCAAGGCGCGGGGGTGGAATGGGGGATGACAATGCGGAAGAAGGACATCTGTAATACTTTCAACAATAAAGACAAATTAAAAAACAACCCTTTCGGGTTTAATTCTGACCACAAATCCCACGGAAATAAATGAGCCCACTTTCCCCCCTTCGTAAGCACAGTGTTTCCGGAGCGCAGCCAGCGTTGTGGGTCTGGATGGGAAGCACCCACTGTGCATCCTTCACGTCACACTGGGGTGGGGGGGGCGGGTAACCATCAACCAGGCTGAGGCTGGGAGCAGGCTGCCGGCAGTGCGCCCCGCTTGCTGTGGGTCTGGACCGTCGGCCTCCGGTTCCAGGTGAGGAGCCCCCTGCCCCGAACTTCTCAGGAAATGGAACGTCTCCCCGCTTCCCCTCAAGACTCTGGCACCGTCTTTGCTCAAAGGACCAGCCCGCTCTTGCCTTTAGGCCAGACCCCCCAGCACACACACACTCGCACACATACACATGCACATGGACACGCGTGTGCACACACACCCTCCCGAGGTGGTGGCTCACTGCTTGTAATCGGCTGGTCCCTGAATGACTGATGTGGCCTGAGGCCCCACACCTCAGGGCGTGTCTGTGCCTCTTCCTCCAGGTGGACAGAGCCCAGGGAAGGCTGCCCCCCCCCCCAGAGCAGGAGCGGGGGCCACTGCCCTAGGGGACCCTGTCACAGACAGGTGCAGGCAGACCCCGAGGAAGACCCAGGCACACCAGGGCCCAGGAGAGCCAACAGCACTTCGCTGCAGGTGAGTTTCACTGCAGGTGGCTTTGGAGAGGGGACTAACAGGTTTCAAATCATCTTAGCAAACATAAGGCTCATGAAATTTATTAAATACAGAGAATAAAAGCATATGCTTGGATCCCAAGTGGGTCTAGAATGCAGAAAGGAAGCTTAGGGAGGGAGGGAGGGAGGGAGGGAGCCGGGCACAGCCAGAGCCATGGGAACGGCAGAGGGCGGCTGGTGGGGTTTTAGATTTTAGGAGGAAAAGCAACATCCAGGACTTTTGAGTCCACCTGGCTGTGGACTTGACGCATCTGTCGTCACCCTTGTCGACCGAGACATCACTGCTCAGAGCTCAGATTCCTGCCTGGACGCCAGCAAAAGTGCTGGCTCCCTGATGGCGAGTTATGACGTGTTTCCTGCCTGCACCTCAGGCCTGAGGACCAGCTGAACGCTGGGGCCAAGCCCTGGCCACCGTCCCCCCACACCCACCGTGCCCCCACACTCCCCACGCCCACTGTGCCCCCACACCCCCCACACCCACCACGCCCGCCCCGCCCCCCATGCCGGAGGGGTTACTCCTAGCTAAGTCACAGAAGCCCCAACATCAGTGGTCTAGAAAGAACGAGACGCAGGCTGGAAGTCAAAGCAAAGGTTTATCCTTGCGTCGGAATGTTTCCCACCTTGCAATCTGCAGGTACAAAGACGTCAGCAACATTCAGTGGCATCAAAATCAGAACAAGAGCAAATGATAAATGTAATAAAAGGAGGCAAGATGGGTGAAACCGGGGTACATACATAGAAAGGTCGCACATGAATGAAACACGACGTAGTTACACACAAGTATCAGTAACCAGACATTAAAAACAACAACACGCGGGCATGTCTCCGGGTGCTGAAACGGATGCCAGGCTCATTGTGAAAGTTTTTAAAAACACATAAAAAATACCCTTTAGAGCCCGGCCTGCATTCCTCATGAGCGCACGGAGAGTGAGTGAGTCACACGGTGACCAAGCACACAGGTCAGAACCGGAGCCTTCCGATCGGATTTGGCATTGAATTCAACTGCGTGCAACATAGGGAAACGCTAGGGGAACCAGGTCGGGTGGCGCCCCTGTGCACAGGGGCCTTCTGTGGCTGAGGGGGAAGAGCTCCCACGTGGCTGCAGATAGGCGATGAGTCCCGAGGGCTCCCCCAGACCCCTGCCCGGGGCCAGCTGGCTGCATTACAGGCCCCCAGGGAAGGCAAGCACGGGCTGCCCCCACCTGGGGAGGGTCTGTGCCCAAGGGACAGTGGCTTCTGCTTTGTTTCTGGGACTGGAAGGACCAAAGGGGCACCCGGACACCTTCGGTGCACACCCGGAGGGCGCAAGGGGCCAGAGGGCACACCCCTGGGGCACTTTCCTGAGGGCGCCCTGAGGGGGTCTCCGTCTCCTCCAGGAGGTGCCAGGGAGCCCATTGGAGGGCGTGGAGGATGCTGAGGAAGGCTCCTCGATTTGGACCCAAATCCGCACCCTTCCACGTGGGCCCCTCAAATAAGTGACAAGCAGCCGGCATCACAGGCAGCCGGCATCACAGGCAGCCGGCATCACAGGCAGCCGGCATCACAGGCAGCCGGCATCACAGGCAGCCGGCTCTAGTTCTAGGATGGGTGGCGAGCGAAGCCCCTGCCTCTTCCCCTTCGGTCAAAGGCAGGCTCTGGGCTCGGGATTTAACAATGAGAACCAATGGAGCCAACCAGCCTGCCTGGCAGCGCTCCCTGCGTCTCCCTCCGGGGCCCAAGTGCGGGGTCCGGGTGCCCAGAGGGCGAGGACGGCAGGCGGCATCAGTGCCGTGGGCACAGCCCAGGGCTGCGGCCTGCTGGCGGACGGCAGCCCTCCCAGGGTTGTGCTTCCGTCTTCCCAGCGGGGCACCTGTGCTGGCCCTTGGGCGGGGCTCCGGGGAGAGGCAGGACCCTGGTGACCTGTGAGTCTGTGCTTAGAGCCCGGCCCCGCCTGTGTACAGCCTGCGCACTGCCCCGGACACAGCTGTGGGCCTGGCTCAGGCAATGAACTCAGGAGAAACAGTGCCATCCGCTCGCAGAGGAAACGTCAAACGAGGCGTGGATATGTCTTTTAAAAAGCAACGGACGTACCAAAAATGCACAGGTGAGCCGCTTTCCGTCAGTGAGACCAGGTGTTTGAGGTTGTGCTCATCTGCTAGGCACGAACGGCCATTGAAAGACCACTGCTACCAAATCAAACCTGCCTACCTTCATACCTCCCCCCCCCCCTTCTATTTTACCCCATGAGCCGGTCCTGTCCGGCAGGGGGTCATGATCATCCATGTCCAAGGTCTCCGTAGTATTTCCATCCAAAAATAAGCTAGCCTTTCTCTTCTCCAATTAAACACTGCGGAGCGGGACTTTTAAAAAACGGTATAAATCTAGATTTTAGGGTTTCTTTTCTTACAAACAGTCTTAGTTTTTACAAGGGGTTTTTAAGTACCAAAACGCTTCTCAGAAAGTTTAAAGCATCGTTACCTGTGGTCGTGCTGCTCTTTCTACCAAGCGCGCGCTCCTGCATCCCCTGGGTGCGGGGCTTGGGGCTTGACCTGAACTTTTTTGGGGGGGAAGTGGTTTGAGGTGGGGCCCCTGGGAGGCCCGCCGCCCACGCTGGCAGCTGCGGCCAATGGGACCAGAGCGAGAAAGGCATTCATCTGCGTCAAACACGCAGAGGGACGGACAGCAGGGGGCGCTGTGGGGGTGCAGCTCCGAAGGCTGCATTGGCTGCATCCAAAGCCAGGGGCGAACCGGACCACCTGGGTCTTCTGTCATCGGGCCCCGGTGGCACGGGCACGGCCCTGGACACGGCTTGTGTTCCTCTCACTGTACAGTCGCTAACTGCAGACCTGGATTCAGGCTGCGCGGCCTTCTTGGATCTTTAAATTGTAAAAGGGAAACCACGTGGGTGGGACCGAGGACTTTACAAAGCACACTCTTTATCGCGTAGCTTCAGAACAGTTTGTCCTCAAAAAAATGCTGCGGCTCAGGCCGACAAATCAGCCTTCAGAAAGCGATTCCCACCTGATTTCTGAGTCCCCGACTGTTCTCTCGTGAACGCTGTGCTTAG